AAGACAGGGTTTCTCTGTGTAGCTTTTGGAGCCTATCCTGGCACTCGCTATGTAGACCAGGCTAGGCTTGAATTAGGATAGATCCGCCTGCCTCTGCCTCCGGAGTGCTGGGATTAAAGGCATGTGCCACCAACGCCTGGATGGATCCTCTCTTAGCAGTTGGTCTGTGCCTTGTTGAAATGGGGAAGCAAACCATTTAGAAATCACCATTCATTTCCACTCTCAGAAGGCTTAGCTACCCTTGGCAGAGTGAGAGCCCTGACAAGTCCTGTAGCCAGGGATGCATAACTTTTCAAACCAGGCTTGCCACAGGCGTGCTCGATTGGGTCGGACACAGTGAAGTGAGCATAGCTGGGACAGCAGACGTGCTGTGGGCAGACTCGATGTAGCTGTAGCCACAGTTCCAAGGGGGACCAGCAGATAACCCTACAAAGCCCCTGAGTGGGGAGAGGAGACTCAGGACGATCATCCTGGTTTCATTTCTGTTGCTGTGGTGAAATACCCTGATTAAAAGCAGCTTAGTGGGAAAAAGGGTTGTTTTTAGCTCACAATTTCAGGTTACAGTTTATTATTTCAGGGAAGTCCAGGCAGCAGGAACTTGAAGCAACCGCTCACATCCCATCCCCAGTCAAAAGCAAAGAGAAATGACTGCATGCTTAGTGTTTGACTTACTTCCTCTACTTTTAACCAGACCAGGGCCCCAAATCGGGGAATTTTGCACCCACTCTCATACTGGGTCTTCTTACACCAATGAAGGTAGTCTGACATAGTTCCTCACAGATATGCCCATGGGCCAACCTGATCAAGACAGTCCTAAACTCTTCCCATGTGATTTTACTTTGTGCCCAGACTATGCAGTGCTGGGATCTAGATGGTGTCTGAGGGGCAGGGTAAGGAGAAGGAAGGGTATAAGGCAGAGGGGTGGTTCTGGGAGGTCATCCTAGGGACATTAGAGGACAGAGCTTGTCCCTTGATGTCCTGTAAGCTGACACAAGCCCTTCTGCACTAGGACCTCTGCCCTTGACCCATCCCTACTGACCCCTGGAGGGCAGTTCTGGCATGCCGGCTTACCTGAACCAGGAAGTCCCAGCTGGCACAGGTGCTGCCCCTCCTAGTGGGAAGACAGGAGTGGCTCTCTGGGCCTTCTTTGTAAAAATGTTAACCCTTCTGGCCTGACTACTAGCACCAAGATCTGGATAGTTAGGCTTCCAACTCTGGTATTTGCATAACACACACACACACACACACACACACACACACACACACACCCATGCAGGCATTCTTGTTCTTGGAGTGAGCCCACAAACCTGAATCCAGTATCCTGGCCACAGGCCCTGCCAGGTCATAGTAAATGGGGAGGCAATAGGAATTTGGGGACTGCGTGAGGGCTGGCTGACTGCAGCCAGGCTCAAAGTGTCCCCTGCTCCTCTCCTCCAACAGGGCAGGCAGCTGCATTCAATGTGACTTTCCGGCGGGCAAAGGGCTACCCCATTGATCTGTACTACCTCATGGATCTCTCCTACTCCATGCTGGACGACCTCAACAATGTCAAGAAGCTGGGCGGTGACCTGCTCCGGGCCCTCAATGAGATCACTGAGTCTGGCCGCATCGGTGAGAGCCACAGTGCACACATGCATTCCAATCTTGGGAACCCCCTGCCACCACACACCTCCATCCTCACAGACCCTCGGGAGCAGAAGCTGGGGAGCTGCATACACAGTGTTTATGGGAACAGAATCAGCCCTGCATCAATACCATGGGCCACATCTGGGCTGCTAAGACCTGTGGACTCCTCCTCCAACCTTTCTCTCTTTATATTTTGATGTTTAAAAGGCAACAGTCCTGCAGTGTCAATTACTAAGAAGTGTGTCTATCTTATAGTAACCATGCCGTTAGCACGGTAATGGAAGCAAACTGCAGGGCAGGTCTCAGGGTGAAGGTTGCAGCACTGACCAGCTTCAGCATCTTCACCACACACATGGGACAAGGGGACAAGGCACCCCCTACTCAGTCCTGAACAACAGTACTTTGCCCTATCGTCTGTGTGAGGATGCCCACCTGCACACTTGAATGCAGGGTGCAAGCTCATCACAGTCTTGTATGCTCACACACTCATGCTCACATATGTCCAGGATCCCACACTCAAACACATTATTTGCATGTCCGTGTACCTGCCTAGCCACACATGTGTGCCTCTATGTCTGCATACACAAGAACACAAGCACGGCCTCCAAAGCCACAGAGAAACCCTGTCTCGAAACATGCCCCCCCCCAAAAAAAGAGCACACGTGTATATGGACACGTACTCACATGCAAATACTCACAGCCACACATGTACTTGACCGCATACCTATACACGCTCTGTCACACACACACTCATGCTTGTACATGACCTAGCATATACTCACCTACACGTGACACCGCACATGCTGGTACCACATGCTCCCCAACCATCATCTTGCTTTCTTCCTTGTTTGGGAAACTGAGGTTTGGCCCTTACCTCACTGTCCTTCCTGGAGCCCTGCCTTCTGCCTCTGTCTCCGGTCCCCCTGCCTCATGCCATGTAACCCTCAGGCTTTGGGTCCTTCGTGGACAAGACAGTGCTGCCCTTTGTCAACACACATCCTGAGAAGCTGAGAAACCCATGTTCCAACAAGGAGAAGGCCTGCCAGCCCCCATTTGCCTTTCGGCATGTGCTCAAGCTAACCGACAACTCCAACCAGTTTCAGACAGAGGTCGGCAAGCAGTTGATTTCCGGAAACCTGGACGCCCCTGAGGGTGGGCTGGATGCCATAATGCAAGTTGCTGCATGCCCGGTGAGGCCACTGTCCCTGTTCAGATCTCTCAGTTTCCTCAAACTCGGGAGCTCCACCAGTGCTGTGGGGCCACTTGCTCTGGTTGGTGGGCCTGTTCAGGGACTCACCCCATCTGACCCCATTCTGTCACCCTGGATCTTGGAAGGTGGCTCCTGGGTCCACGTCCCAGGTGGCTCCCAGCCTCCCAGATCAGAGAGCAAAGGAAGAGTGGCTGCATCGCTCTGAAAAACACATTTCAGCATTAGCTGATAGCCCTGGCTCTCTGTGAGCCAGGTCGGCATTAGCTGATAGCTCTCACAGCTCTCTGTGAGCCAGGCTGCCCAGCGGCAGTGGGTCTTCAGTGTGAAGATTGTCCTTAGCTCTCATGGCTCCTCAGCCACACCCCTGCCTGTCAGTTTCTGACTGTTTATAATGTCCTCATTGCAGCAAGCCAATCCCACCCTAGTCCGGCTCTCAGATCTCCAACTTTGTTGGGCTCACATTGTGGGCACACACATTTTACATTTGTGTTGGCTCATAGTACAAAGCCTGGGTGCGGCAAGTGTGTGCTCCTTCCATTGTTTCTGGCACTCAACTCCCCCAGGGACATCCTTTGATCCCCATTTTAGTGGTTGGGAGGTGTTTCCATTTTAATGGACACTTCTGCATACTTTTCCTCCTTCACAATTGTGTCATTGGAGTCTAGTTCAAGGTCTGAAGAAGACTATGGAAGATTTATCTCTTTAGATTCAGATGTGTGTCAGTTCTTACCTCACACTCCTGCATGGCATGCTGGGAGCTGTTGGTTTAGATGCTTCCTTCGCACTGGGTAGGCTCCCTCCCTCTCTCTCTCCCCCTCCCTCCTTCCTTCCCTCCTTCCCTCCCTCCCCCACCCCTTTCTCTGTCTCCTGAGGGCCCAGCAGGGAAATGGAGGCAAGTAACCTCTGTCTGCCTTCTTCCCAGGAGGAAATTGGTTGGCGCAATGTTACGAGGCTGCTGGTGTTTGCCACAGATGATGGCTTCCACTTTGCTGGAGATGGGAAGCTTGGTGCCATCCTGACGCCCAATGATGGCCGCTGCCACCTGGAAGATAACATGTACAAGAGGAGCAATGAGTTCGTAAGTTCTCTGCCTGCCTTGGCACATCGCAGTACCAAGACTGGTTAAAGGCCACTCAGGAATGACAAGAGGACAGGATGAGAGCAGGGTCACAGGCCTAGGTCACCCTAGCAGAACCCAGAGTCCTCTTAACACAAATAACAAGTCTCAGAGGAGTCCTCAGTGACCCTGGTGATAACGAGATTCCTGGCACTCACATCTGTCTGGAAGGCTGCTCTGGCTCTGGTCCTCACAGCAGAGGACCTGACCCAGCCCCACTCCCGCCCATCCATCCATCTCCCTGTCTCTATGCATGCCTGCTCCGCCTGTCAGGGCCCTGTCAGAGCTCCAAGGCCTGGACACTCTGGACACTCATTGCCTTTCCAAAGGTACCATGAAGGATTTTTGAGCCCACATCCTGCAGGGACCAACTGAAACCCACTGATTTGGAGTTATTGGCAGATAGAATCTAGGGGTCCAGACCCCAGGCAGAAGCAAGGCTATCATGTCCATTTGCCACCCCCATAATGTTGAATGACATGCCCATTTGCTACACATCATGGTGGTGAGGGGTGGAGTCTAAAATCTAGCCCTAGTGGAAACGCAGGTACTTCCCAGTGCCTATACAGCAGCTCCTCAGAATGCTGTTTGCACTGGGCTGGCTTAGCACCCAGAGTGGTAACTCACAGTAGCTTCCTTTACCTGGCATTGACCAAGAGAACCATCACAATTGTCAGTGGTCTCTTCATGTATTTCAAAGTAATTGGTTTCCTGTCAGTCCTGTCACATGCTTGTAAACCTACTCCAAGTGAGGCCTGCCCTGAGCAAGTGCCGATGCCCTGACAGCATGGACGCTTGCTTCCCCAAGGTGTCCTGGAAGGCTTGTCTGAAAAAATGTCCCCTCTCTCCAGGACTACCCATCGGTGGGCCAGCTGGCACACAAACTTTCCGAGAGCAACATTCAGCCGATCTTTGCGGTGACAAAGAAGATGGTGAAAACATATGAAGTAAGTGGAGCCTTGTGCAATGTGGGCGACAGGCCATCTCAGCTGTGAGTGACAAGCCAGGCCCTGCCCAATATTGCCTCAGTTCTGCTTTTCATGATGGCCTGTGGGTGGCCAGCCTGGCCAGTAGCCACAGTTTTCTGGGTGTGAATATCCTGGTGGAGGAAGCTGAGGCTACCACTGGGCCACACGGTGTCCACGTCTTGAAATTCTATAGTGCTGTTTGCTCTTTCTGTTTCTTCTGAAACGAAGCAGTTTAGAACTACTCCTCTCTCTCTCTCTCTCTCTCTCTCTCTCTCTCTCTCTCTCTCGCTCTCTCTCTCTCTCTCAAAGAGAAGCCCCTTTGGGTAACCAGCATTCCAATGGAGCCAAACTCGACATGTTGCTACTTCCTGAGGAGACCTCAGACCTCAGTTCTGCCCATGGGGGACACCTCCTTTCTCCAAAGCACCTCAACAAGCAAAAGACAAAACCAAAGCAAACAGGATCTTGGGTTTGGCATTGGCTTTGAAACAGTTGTCCATTCTCCTGGGGAGGAAGCAGCCATGCTTGCTCCTTGTAGAGTCAGGCCTGATGACCCCAATGCTTTGCATCCAGAGAGATGAGCCTCGAGGGGAAGGTAAAGTCCCATTCTTGTAGTCAGGAGACCTTTGGGCCCTTCAGTTCATACAGCAAGAATATCACTTCCATCCATTCATCTCTTAAGACAGGAGTAACTGGACCCAATGGTGTGAGAGCAAGGAATAGCTGCTGAGCTAGACAGTGTTTCTGATGGTCGGGTGGCTCTCTTTAGCCCCTTTTTCAAAATGCTACTTGAGGCTCATCCTGTGTTTCACTGCTGTTGTCATGCCATGTGTGTGTCCTGCCTTAGAAAGGAGGAGCAGAGGGAAAATCCTCCAAGGATGAGTTCACACAGGCAAGATTCTCAGGTGTGGTCAGGCTCCCAAGCCTTCTCCGTGGCTTAGTAACTTGCTGGACAGGCCTACAGATCTAAGCAAAGCTACTAGACTCCCAGTCGGTTTGCCACAGTGTCGGGGGTAAAGTCAGTAGATATAAGAAACAGAAAGGGAGAGAGATGGGCCTCAAACTTCCATGGCCCCTCCCCATGCAGGGATAATCTCTCATCTGACCAAGTCCTCCAGCCCCTCCTGAGAATGAGTAGATCTTTCATGGCCTGAAGACACCCACCTGCCAGGAGCTACTTCCCAGGGCCACCTTCCTTTGGAATGTGCAAGTTGTAGGCAGCCCACCTTTACTGGGCAGTGAGGCATCCAGGATTTACTAGAAGCAAGAGTACTACTCCTCCTCTCCTAGAAGAATCTCTACTCTAGGAGCTGCTCAGCATAGGGCCCTGGGCCAGAATGAGATGTGTATGCCTGTCAGGAGACCTGAAGCATGGAAGATGATGGCTGTACTCAATGTCTGATGGCTCATTCTTCAAGGTCAGAGAACCTTAGATCTTAGCCACGCTAGACACATCTAAAGAAGGGGCCCACCTTCCTCCTTGGTGAAGGGCAACGGTGCCCACTTGGGAGGGCCACTACAGAGACACTGAGCTCAGCTACCCAGTGACTTCAGAGAGCACCTGCCACCTCATCTGAGAGAGATCTCAGTTCCTCACAAGTCCCTGCCATCACTCTGTCTTCAAAGACACTAGCAAGTGTGAACCCAGGCTTCTTGTATCACAGCTCTGTGCAGCCATGCTGCTTCCAAACTGGTGGAGTAGAGGTTGGGCTGAGCAAGAAAGTGAAGATAGAAGAAAACACACAATACCTGGGCAGGTGACTTTTGTGGAATGTACCCTGCTGAATGAGAACTGGGGATCAGGTCGCATGGAAGGTCTTAGACAAGCCACGATGGCTAGGCTAATGGCCATACTAGCAGTCCTATTGCCAGGCTCCCAGGCTCCAAAAAGTGCGCAGTAGTTTGAAGAGACATTGGAGAGTAAGCTCCACAGACTGGACATACAAGAGCACAGCTCTCCTGGCCAAGGCTGGTCCCTGTGCCAGGGCAAATGAGGTGGTTTGCAGAGCCAGAGGCGTTAGTGGCTGGGCTATGATGGACTCATGGAAGGGACAGACTTTATTCCAGAGACTCAAGGAAGGGTGCTGAGCCTGAGTGGCTTGGTCATCAGTTATGTGGCGGTGTGTCAGAGGCCAATGAGCATTTCCTGTTCACAAAGTATGGCATGGCTATGAATAACACTAGGAAAGATGTGAGGAAAATGCAGGCTGTCTGTCACTCAGAGGCTCTGTCTGACCCACCTCCTCTGAGCAGCAGGCCTGTAACATCACAGTTTCATAACGTCACTATTAAATTGGAACTCTGAAACCCATTGAAATGGTCAAGGCCTACCACTTCCTGTGATTTTACCACATTTCACTGTTATCTGTGTATCATGCTGATGTGGTAGGAATACTGTCCCGTGGTGAACCAGGCATGTGTTCCCAGGTCAAAGACGCTATCAGGCTGAAATGTCTACTGCGCACATTCACACCCACGAGTGTAAAGTGTAACTTCCACTCAGGGCTTTGGAGCTGGTTTTCCTCCTTCCCTCCTTCCCTCCCTCCCTTCCAACCTCCCTTCCCCTCTCTTTTTCCTTTCTTCCTTCCTTCCTTTTACTTTTTTCGAGAAAGAGTTTCTCTGTGTAGCCCTGGCTGTCCTGGAACTTGCTCTGTAGACCAGGCTGGCCTTGGACTCACAGAGGTCCGCCTGCCTCTGCCTCCCGAGTGCTGGAACTAAAGGCATGCTTCTTTAGTTCCAGCTTTTCCTCCCTTTCCTACTCAGAATTTGAGAGTGAATCCATGCAAGGCAAGTGCTCTGCTGCTGGCCCACACCCTCAGCCCCCTTTTCACTTTTTCTTTTGAGACAGTCTGGATGAGTAACCCAGGCAGGCCCTGAACTTGTCATCCCCCTGCCTCAGACTCCCAAACATCTGGGATGAGAGGCCTGGGACACGAGACCCAGCTCCTAAGGGCTTGCTGCCCTTCCGCAGGGATGAGAGGCTGGGATACAGGTGCCAGCACCGGTCCTGGCTCCTCAGGGTTTGCTCCAAAAAATCTGCTATTGTCACTCAGCAGCACAGCACTGACTTACTGAACAATGTCATGAGGAATGGAGGCCCTGGGCATCCATCACAAGCCTCGTGGCTCTGGAGGGGCCTGTAGCACCACGTGCCAGCTTGAACTTCTCATCAACAGAAACTCACGGAAATCATCCCCAAGTCAGCAGTGGGGGAACTGTCCGATGACTCCAGCAACGTGGTACAGCTCATCAAGAACGCCTATTACGTGAGTCCCCAGCAGAGCCGGGTGGGCTGGCACAGCCCCCATGGGTCAGCAGATGAGTGGCATGGGGGACACCTTGCCACGCCCTACTGGGATCCTCACAGCTTCTGGACAGGCATGGCAGGGAGAAAGGAGGGATGTGCCAGCCCCTTCCCACGGCTTTGTGTCCTTTTGTGGCATGGCTGGCCTGTACCAGACCCTATCTGCTATTTCCTGAAACAGTGGCAGGCCCTTCTTATTGAGGCTCTTCCATGCTGGCTGACATGGAATAGTGGGCAATGGATGGCTGGCAGAGGTAGAATGATGAGAATGATGTGTCTCACGGTAGGAGACCCCAGAAATCATCACAGTGGCCTTGGGCCTTGTGAAGACTCCCTTGAGGTAGAGCACCCCTTGTATGCCAGTCCTCAACCTTATTCTGGGTGAGTCCTCCAAGACCCATCATCCATCATCCTCCCTCCCTCCCCCCTGTTAATGATGGCAGTCTGTCTAAATGCACCCAGATTTGCTTCCCTCAGAGGCCCAGGGTTCTGGTGAACACCAGTGTTCACCAAACACAGCTCAGGGCTCAGACACCATCCAGGCCCCAACCAATAACAGAACTCTACTCCCAGTGACAGGTGTCCCCAAAGTTCTGGCCTGCATCCCTGCTGCTGGATGTCTTGAAGTCTGGAAGCACATACTATCTGGGAGGCCCTTTAATACCACTGTTGCAGACTGGAGTGCAAGCCCAGGGACAGGGTGGGGAGTCCCGTTCCCTTCTCCAGCCTTGTGAGCTCCAGGAGCCCCAAGCAGGCTCCCACGCCTGGCCACTGCCCAGTCATGTCCAGCTCTGTCTTTACCGGGATGACTTGGGCGACGCCATCATGCCCACTCATTGGATGCCACCTGTTCTCCGTCTTTTTCCATCTGTGTCTTGTCTCTCCCATCAGTTCAACAATCCACCATTCCTCTTCCACTAACCCCGGGGTTCAACAGTGAGGGGATAGTCCTCACAGGGTTCATGCCTATGTCTATGCTGGTCTCAGAGCAAACCCGTGCAATCAGCCTGCTGTCCCATCCTGACACAATCACTAAGCTCCCAGCAGGTGTGCACGAGGGGTGTGAGAAGTGAAATGGCCGGGGCTCAGGGATGGCCCGATCTGTCACCCCTGAGCATAACTACTCTCTGTCTACAGAAACTCTCCTCCAGGGTCTTTCTGGACCACTCCACCCTTCCCGACACCCTGAAAGTCACCTATGACTCCTTCTGCAGTAATGGAGCATCAAGTATAGGCAAACCCCGAGGGGACTGTGATGGTGTACAGATCAACATCCCGGTGAGCCTGGCCTGCTGAGGGACCTGGGGTTCCCATACCAGTGTGTTGGAGGGTCCTAGGGAGATCCACAGGGTAAGCAAGGAAGGAATCCACTAGTGGCCAGCAGCCAGCCTCTTTTCCCTTTAAACAGCTGAGAGAGGCCAGATGTGACATCAGGGAAAGGGTACAGGGAAGGTACCTGACTGGTCTCAGCGGCAGGTTCACGCCTATCAACACAATGAATACCTGCAAATCTCTAGAGTGGTCCTGGGTAGACTGATGGGTATGGAATGACAGCGCCCTCTGGGGGCAACTGCTGGTCATGCACAGCTGCGCCAGTATCTGGTTGGGATAGCTGAGACTAGGCAAGGGGATGAGAGCAGGGTCGTTACCCTGTTCACTCACAGTCCTGAACTGAACCTCACCATTCTCCTATAGGTCACCTTCCAGGTAAAGGTCACAGCTTCAGAGTGCATCCAGGAGCAGTCCTTTGTCATCCGGGCACTGGGCTTCACTGACACAGTGACCGTGCAGGTCCTTCCCCAGTGTGAATGCCAGTGCCGGGACCAGAGTCGGGAGAAGGGTCTCTGTGGAGGCAAGGGTGCCATGGAGTGTGGCATCTGCAGGTGAGGAGGGTGCTTGTGACCCATGGCACATCCGTCCTCAGGGAAGGTGTCTGCAGATGAAATGGGCATGGCCAGCCCATAGCGTAGTGAGGCGGGCATGGTGAGGTGAGGTGGGTATGGCCATCCCACAGCATGCCAGCCCATGAAGCAGGTGTCTGCAGGGGGGTATGCCCAGCTCACCCAGGAGGTAGATGGCCTGCAAGTACTCCCATGTCCTAGCTCTCTGACCTCAGCAACTCTGAGCAATCAAGCTGGCAGCATGCAGCTACAGTACCACTAGGACAGGTGACCACTCCTGGCAGCCTGGGCCCTAAAGCCACTCTGTGAACATTTACGCACAGGCCTCAGTGCAGGATGCAATTGGGCTTGGATACTCTACGTCAAGGAGGAGGAAGGGAGCAGTATGCCCAGCAGAGAGACTGTATGTAGTTGGTGGCCTGGGTGCTAGACATCCTCTCCCAATTGCTTCCCTGGTTTCTGATATTTGGGGTGCTCTGTCCATGTCTCAGGCCTGCACTGACTGTATACCTTCTCCTGGGCACTCTGTAATAGTGGTGGTTTCAGTGGCCACCCCCAGCCAGCGGAACTGTGCCCTGGTCCTGAGTGTGCTACCCTAGTGGCCTCTCTACATAGCTGAGCTAACTTGGCTGGAGGATTGGACCATTGGTCAGTCAATTTCGAGGCTCTCTGCCACAGCAGGACATTGCAGGGCGTGACAGGGTTGGCTACTGACCTTCCTGTCTCACTAAGCTATGTCTCGCACCCCCATGTTCTTTTTCTACCTAGTGTAGTGAGTGATGAGGCATTGCTACCATGTCCCCACTGGACCCCTTTCCAGGTCCAGGTCAGCAGGGACAGATACTGGATTCTTAGAACAATCCATTAACACAGTGCTCAGGAAGCTCCCGGATGGGCCTGCAGAGGAATTGTCCTTGTCAGGGCTTCTATTGCTGTGATGAGACACCATGACCAATGGCAACTCTTATAAAGGAAAACATTTAGGCTGGGCGGGGTGGCACACGCCTGTAGTCCTAGCATTCGGGAGAGGCAGAGGTACACGGTTCTCTATGAGTTTGAGGCCAGCCTGGTCTACAGAGTGAATGAGTTCCAGGACAGCCAAGGTTACACAGAGAAACCCTGTCTCGAAAAACCAATGAATGAATGGATGAATGAAAACATTTAATTGGGTGACTTATGGCTTACAGCTCAGAGATTCAGTCCATTATCATCATGGTGGGACATGGTGGCATGCAGGCAGACACGGTGCTGGAGAAGGAGCTGAGAGTTCTACAGCTTGGCCGGCAGGCAACAGGAAGGGGTCTATCTCACTGGGCGTGGCTTTAGCATGTATGAGCCTCAAAGCCCACCTCCACAGTGACAAACTTCCTCCAACAAGACCACACCTACTCCAACAAGACCACACCTCCTAATAGTGCCACTCCCTTTGGGGCCATTTTCTTTCAAACCACCACAGGTGTCATGCTTATAGGACAGTCATCTGTATGCCCCTAGGAACTTCCTTGGCTAGTACATGGCACCTGCTGAGGAGACCTTTGGCAGCCGGTGTGGTGTGCCATACAGTACAGGTGTTTGGATGAGTTCTGGGCCAGCAGGAAGGACAGGAGGTGTCTCTCTCCCAAGGGGAGGACCTAAGCGCACACTCTCCTCCCCCATCACGCCAGGTGTGAATCCGGCTACATTGGGAAAAACTGTGAGTGCCAGACGCAGGGCCGGAGCAGCCAGGAACTGGAAGGAAGCTGCCGGAAGGACAACAGCTCCATTGTGTGTTCGGGGCTGGGGGACTGCATCTGTGGGCAGTGTGTGTGCCACACCAGTGACACCCCCAACAAAGTGATCTTTGGGCAATACTGCGAATGTGACAATATCAACTGTGAAAGATACGACGGCCAAGTCTGTGGTGGCCCAAGTAAGTGTTGGGAGCCACAGGTAGCTGGGGGGACTTTCTTGTCCATTTGTACCAGGAGATGTTAAGTGGGACACTGGGGACAGACAGATGGACAGACTAGCAAGCCTCTCCTGCCCAATCTGTTTCTGGGTCTGCGAGGGTCAGCATTGTCCCGAGAAGGCAATGGATGTGACAGCCATGTCCTGATCCAAGGGATTTTCAGATACAATGTGGAGGTCCCATCTGGCTCAATGGTGGCCCTGTTGCTGGAGGTGCAGGGCAGGAAGGCATCCCTGGTCCCTGTGGTTTTGTCCACTGTCCCTGTATGATGCTCTGCAGCTGTGTGAGGAGGGATAGGTAGAAGCAGAGGAGACCATAAGAACAGTCCTCCTTGCAAGGCACTATCAGGCTAGGGAGCAGGATGGCTGGAGGATGGCTGCCTGTTCCTAGCAGGGAAGTGAGTCATGGTCACCTCGGTTGTTTTCCAGAGAGGGGCTCCTGCTCCTGCGGCCAATGCAGTTGCAAAGAGGGCTTCGAGGGCTCTGCCTGCCAGTGCCGGAGGTCCACTGAGGGCTGTCTGAATACACGGCTGGTAGAGTGCAGTGGCCGCGGCCGGTGTCACTGCAACAGATGCAAGTGTGATGCGGGTTACCAGCCACCGCTGTGTGAAGAATGTCCTGGCTGCCCTTCACCCTGCAGCCTGTACATGTGAGTGTCCCCATTGCCCATACTGGTCTCACTGCTGGACAACCAGGGAGCCCCCAGAGACACAACTGTAGCATAGTTCTTAGTGGGATTCAGCAGGACCAGTGTCCCCGCCACCATCTGTCTCCTTGCAAGCCTGCAGGGTTCGTGGCTTCACAGGGGGTCTAGGCCTATGCCCCTTCAGCCCTTGAACCAGGTTTCTGTTAACACTGACCCTGCCTTCCAGACCCTCTTAGGAACACAATTTGTATTCCCCCATCACTCACATCATTGCGCAGAGTCCTGAGAGCTCCCGGACACTCCGCCTGGGACTACTTGGCAAGCCAATGCCCTTACTGCTTTCACGGCATGCACCAGACACACCTACGTGCCCTGAATCATCCAGGCCACCTTGAATAGCTCTACAGCCTGGTCCAGCCATGCATCCTCTCATCCCGTGTGCCCACACACACCAGGGCATCCTGACACACCCCTGTATGTTCATCTTCACAAACCTTGACACACTAGTGCAACTTTCCACAACCATGCATCTCTGCACACCTGTGCACCCCAGGGTCCTTGTACAGCAACATGCCACTTTGAACCAGGTGATGGTGGTGCACGCCTTTAATCCCAGCACTTGGGAGGCAGAGGCAGGCGGATCTCTATGAGTTCGAGGCCAGCCTGGTCTACAGAGTGAGTGCCAAGTCAGCAAAAGCTACACAGAGAAACCCTATCTTGAAAAAAAAAAAAAAAAAGATGCCATTTCACACCTCATGCCCTAACACCCTCTCAATACCCACTCCACCCTACTCCTCTGCAGCTCTTGTGCTGAGTGCCGGAAATTCGATAGGGGCCCTTTTGAGAAGAACTGCAGTGCGGCGTGCGCCAATGTGACGCTGCAGCTCACCCCTTTGAAGGGAAAACTCTGCAAGGAGCGGGACTCAGAGGGCTGCTGGATGACCTACACCCTGCAGCAGAAGGACGGGAAGGACACTTACGACGTTCACGTGGAGGACAGCAGAGGTGAGGCTCAGTGGTGCCTGACATGTTAACATGATCTGGTATGGGTTGAACATGATGGCATGATAACATGATCTGGTATGGCTTGAACATGGTGAATAGAACTCCGGCCATGAGGCCTTTGCAGACTTTTGCAGTGAGAAGACCACAGAGGAAAGCTCTTTCTTCTGTGGGGCAAGATAGGCCCAGCAGCAGTAAGTAGGAGAGCTATCCAGGGTACCTGGGCATAGCAGCATTTCAGGACAGGCTAGTAGCCATCCACTTTCCCTGCCCATGGCTCTCTTTCACACTGCTCTCCTTACCCGGCCCTGCCTGAGGAGATGAGTAGCAGATGGCTTTTCCTAGTGGTAACCACAATACATATTGGGTGTGATGGCATTGTAGCGCCACACTGCCTAGCCAGGGCATCTCCCATCCGATGGGAGGATCCTGAGGATGGTGTCTGTTGCTTCCTAGAGAGCTTCATAGAAGTGGAGGTGATTCCACCCCAAAGCACTGTTTACTGTCCCTCCACTTGTCTCGGGTCCTTGCCAGGCCCAGTAACACCTGTGAACTTAGAGATTCTGACCTGGTCTCTAGGTTCACATTTAAGGGAAGGGGGGCAGCTGGCTATACTCCAGACATACACCAATGCAGTGTGAGGCTGCAGCCGTCGGTGAGAGGTTCCTGGGGCTGGTTCTCCTAGAGAGGCAGATGAGACCATGAGACAAGGGGAAGCAGAGTGTCTGTGGTTGGAGCAGTTAGAACCCCATGATGCCCCATGAGTCCTGGAGGGATCCAGGCCTGTTCCTGAACATTCCAGGAAACTATTAGAAGTTTCCAGAATGAAAGTGGCCATACTGAGCTATGTTTATTTCCCCCCCCCCATAATTGTTAGTTCTTCATTGTTATTAGTGTGAGCATGTGTGAGTGTATGTGTGCGGATCAGAGGACAACCCCTGGGAGTTGGCTCACCCTTTTAAATTGTGAGATCAAACTCAGGTCACCATGTCTGCACAGCGAACACCTTTACTGGCTGATCCATCTCACTGGCCCCCAGATTGTGTTTTTAAAAGTCCACCTAGCAGCTCCCTTGCTGGGGTATAAGGTCGGCATTATCCTGTTGGAGCATAATGTGGATACCATCCTATTAGGAGGCCAGTGGTCACAGTCCTGTCTGGGAATGAGGTGGACATGGTCTTGTGAGGGTTCAGGTAAACACAGTCTCATCAGGGGATGGGACAGATATGGTCTTATTGTATAAGATGACTACTATCCTGTCATTAACCAAGTAGATACATCATGCAGTAGACACTAACAGAGGACAACTGCTGCTTGGACCTAACAAGAGAGGAGATGAGTGGGCGGGGCAGGTTGGAGTATTGATAGAGCCCCCCTTTGAATGAGACACGGGGGAGCTGCCAGAAACAGGTGCGGGGTACTGGGGTCCCCAACAGAGGGAGCAGGAAGTTGGAGTTGGAACAACTTGGAAGTTTGTTGAATAACAATGATCAAAGATGGTGGGCACGATGGATTTGGACAAAAATATATGACAGGGTTACCCTATAGGCTTAGACGAGCAGCCTTAGGATTCTAGCTATCTACCTCATTCAGACTCAGAGAGCCGAGGGGACCGCTGAGGAGGACATTCAGGGGACCATCAGAAGCTCAGGTCAATAGCATACCATGCTCATACAGGACTGAGCCCTGGAGCCCCTGAGCCCAGGTTCCTCTTCAAATCATGGACCCCATAAGAGGCAGGTAGGATGCCGATGCTATGAAGTACCTGGAGCTCGACCTGTCCTCTGGGTTGGGGGCTGCTGGCTCCAGCCTGCCAGAGCAAGGGCTCCTCCAGGTTACTTCGAGGGGCATGTTTGGGATTATGACCGGTTTTGTGCAACGTTGGCCAAGCTATTTAAGCACTGTGAAGACAATGGAAGGCCTCCCTGAAAAGGCCACAATGATAGGAGAGACTCTATGACAATGTTGTCGGTGACCCAGCAGAAAGAGATCCATGCAGATGGTACCTCCGCCCCACAGTCAGGGTCTGCTCTGTAGCTTACTGCATCCCAAGGCCCACAGCAAGGCAACCCAGCACTGGACCTAAGGGCATTGTCCTTTGCATCCTATGGCTGCCTCAGCCACCTGAGCACAGGCCTCTGGTTCCTGGCGTTGGTCACCATAGAATCCCTTTGCCTGGATGTGCCATCTCAGACTGTACTGCTTGTGCCCAGTCCCATACTGGACAACAACCCCAGCCTGAGCACCAGCAGATGGTGACCAGGGATGTGGACATGTCATCCAGGCTTTCTTCAGGTTGGCCACTGACCTGGCCTCCCCTGCTCTGTGAACAAGAGCCAGGCCAAGTGGCCTTTATGTCATTTGGAAGCCCAGGGCCTGGTCTGATTTCTGGTAGGAGTGAAGCTAGATTCCATCATCATCTACTCATGAGATGTGGCAAAGTGTGAGCCTCCTGTGGCCGGGGTGTGGCACACTGGCCACTGGAGGGAGGGCTGACACTTGGCTGTGTACTTCCTTCTTAGAGTGTGTGGCAGGTCCCAATGTGGCTGCTATCGTAGGAGGCACCTTGCTAAGTGTTGTGCTCATCGGTGTCCTCCTCCTGGTCATCTGGAAGGCCCTGACCCACCTGACTGACCTCAGGGAGTACAGACGCTTTGAGAAGGAGAAGCTCAAGTCTCAGTGGAACAATGTGAGTGGCCTCGCTTGGGGGATCCGCATGGTGCTCATGCTTCCTTTCCTCACTGACCTCTCACAGGGACAGTCTGGTACACTCTCTATCCCAGCCATGCTTGCGAGACCCAAATAGAGAGTCTTTCCCAACTCTGTTACTTCTCAGAGCGGGACTGTGGCTGTCCTGGAGTAACGACACCATCCCTCACTCCAGAAGCTTGGCCTCCAGGCTCCCAGAGTGCTGTGGTGTGCAGGCTTAGCCTGAGCCTCAGGCCCTGGGAAGTCTTCCTCAGAGTGACCTCTACTCATCCAGTGGCTTCTTGGTCTTGACGCACTCCCTGTACTGACAAGAGCTTATTTGGTTCCTCTCTAGGACAACCCCCTCTTCAAGTGTGCCACCACAACCGTCATGAACCCTAAGTTTGCTGAAAGCTAGGGCGAGAGCTGTCAGTATCAACCAGATGAGATCCTTAGACCTCGCCTCCTCCCCTCTGCAACCATGATGTGGCTTACAGCTCACCACAGTGCTGCCAAGGACCCAAAGGCCCACTGTTTCTTTCCACCTTATGTCAAGACTGTCAGGTTTGCCATGAACTCATCGTCTGACCTGCACAATCTTGCCACAGAGCCTTAAGAATATCCCAAGGTTCCGCACACATTTCCTTGTTGGTAAAAGTGGCACTAACGTATTTATATTTAAACTTGTCAGGGTATAAAGCTACATCCCATTTTTTTTGTATTGTTAACATTCCAACTGTTGTATTATATATGGGTATAAAACTATATCCCACATATTGTGTTGTAATCATATGTGTAAAAATAATAAAGCTTCTATCCGCGCTGTCCACAGAAGGTGGGCTTGGTAGAGTCCTCTGGGGCAAGGTGGCTGAGCTCCAGGGTGTTTTGTCCCACCTGCCAATGGTCCTTTCACATCCTGAGGGTTCTGGTGGGCTCAGGGCCTTGGATTGGGAGACTTGGTTCTCTTCTTCCCTGCCCGTGACCTGCATATATGGAGCCTTCCCAGACCCAGTGCTAAATCCCATGTGGCTGCATAACGAAGGTGTCAGGTGACAGAAATGGCACCCTCCAGCTCCCAACTTCCTCTGTCAGGTTTAGTACAGGAAGATAGGGTGGTGGCCAGAACACAAACCAGGGGTTGGTTAAGAAGTTACTTTGTCCTAAGCTGCTTTTGGGGGTGACCTGGAAAGCATTGCTGACTCACATTCTAAATGAGTGAGTGAACCCAAGTTGTGCTCAGTGATGATGGTGTCCTTGGACCTCTGAGAGTGATAAGCCAACATACTAGGTAGTTTTTCTGGAAATATTTGTTTTGCCTCATGGTCTCAGACGGTTCCATTGCTGAGCCCCACCTGCTCAGCAGAGCTTTCTGTCCTGGGAGTATGCTGTCCAAACTGCGTACCTCATGGCATCCAGGAGCAGAGAGACAGAGCATAGCTAGTGACAAGCTACCCCAAGGATTGGCCCCCAAGGACCTATGTCTTCCAGCTAAAGTCCTACCTCCTAAAGTTCCCAGAACCTTCCAAAATAGTGACACTAGCTAAGCACCAGGGCCCCAATACAGGAGCTTTTGTAGAGGGACACTTCATATCCAAACCATATCACCCAGCCATGTAAATGGCCACAGCTTGTGTGCCCAAGCCATAGAGTAGGAAGAGCTAGGTGCAGCCAGAGAAGTCCTCAGGGGTTCTCACTTTTAGACAGAGGTACTCTGTTCAATGCTGCTTATTCACATGTGAGTGAAGTGTGCAGGACTGGGTGTCGAGTGTGTCCTGGAGAGTCTTCCCTGTGCTAAATGTATTTTCTTGTAGTTTGGGTTGTGAGCCTAACCTTTAACTGCTCAGCCATCTCTCCAGCCCAGCGAAATGCATTTTCAAATGATACTTTGCACTTATCTTTTCTTAAGAATATAATTGTTAAAAGTCCAGGAAAAAAAACAAAAAACAACTGTTGACGAAACATCCCATTCAGTCAAAAAGCAAATGCTGCATTTCAGGCAGAGTGAATGACACAGTGGATTTCCTCTGGCCTCTGAGATTCCCAGGAACTCAGCCTGCAGGGGAAGCTGGCTTTGTAGTTTGTTAGAGCCTGCATCAACACACAACTGCTGGGCCCTGTTCTAGCGCCACCTACTGGTGATGCTTGCTGCTGTCTGCTGTCCATGGAAACACTTGCTTCCATGGCGGGAGGAAGTCCCTTGCCAGTTCCTTGGGAGCAGCCCTGGCAGCGGCAGTCAGCTTGGGCATTTGTTCCAAGAGGCCTTGGAACATTTCCTGGACAATGTCCACTCCTTCGTGGGGAGTTCTACCTCAGCCAAGGCACCAGTCCTCCTCTTCGGAGCTTGACGCCTTGCTTTCCCGCCATGTTGTGTGTGTGGCTGGGTGGATGGCCAGTCTTTGCCTCCCCCATTCTACCTGGGGGTTTCCACCTTTCTGGCCACCTTTGAACATCACTTCTTGCTTGAGACTCACCCAGTGGTGCTGTGTGAACGTTGATGTCTGTCCCTATTTCACCTGTTGGCACTTACTCCAAAGACAATAGCAGTAGGGAGAAGGACCTTTGGGAGGACATGAGGGAGCTTATGAGAGATAAGGAGCTGTCTTGCAAGCAAAGCTAACCCTCAGCAGTCACCAAATCTACTGATGCCTGGATTCCCAACTCTAGAACTGTGAGCAATGGGTTTGTGTCACATATAAATTGCCCAGCCTCGGGTATTTTGTTAGAGCAAAAGGAATAGATTGAGACATGCTTTACTTTTTTTTATAAGTGTATTTGAAATAGTCACTGAAGATTAATTTTTACTCTCAGTCATGAAGCCTTGTCTTTCCACGTTCAGGAAAAGAATCTGGCTTTATCTTATTTATGTGAAACATTAAAAGGAACTGGAATTGCACATGGGGTGGAGAGATAGCTCAGCAGTTAAAAATGCCTACTGCTTTTGCAGAAGGCCTGGGTTAGGTTCCAGCATCCACATTGCATAATGGCAGTAGGCTGAGCCCTGGGGAGGAAGTTATAAGCAAGGGCACAGTGAAACCACCAAACTGGACTACTCCATGGGCAGAAAGGTTTATTGGGAACCAAATTGCTAAGGGTATCTTGGAGAAATGGGGCAGTGTTGTTTTTCTGTTGGCATAATAGCTGCCTGAATCTACTGATATTTTAACTACCGTCTGCACCCTGAGGGCCTGCAGTCAACACCCCACTATTCAGACCATGGCCTGGCCCCACTGGCACCAGCTTGGCCCGTGGCTGCCAAATGTAGGCTTTAACTAAGTCTCTATCATTTTGTTTACCAATAAAGATCTGGGAGTCAGATGCTGGCCTGAAAACCTGCTAGATCAGAGAAGTCGAAAAGCAACCAGCTGACCTTCCTTTTTGGAGACCCAGCAAGAGAAGCATCTCTCTACTCATCTCAACCCCAAAAGACCACGAATCTCTAAGCCCCTCCCTATTCCTTCCTGTGTGGCTCTCTATCCAGATTCTCAGCTCCTCCGTCCTCTCTATGACTAATTCCTGTCAATGATTCTCTGGCTCTGCCTCCTGATCCAAGGTTAATTTTGTTAACACTCTCTCTCGGAGTTTCGCAGTGCAATCAAATATCCCCAAACAGGGCAGAGAGAGGCAAAATGGTATAAAAGCAAGCATGTATATTTTATGTGTCCACAGGGTGGGGATCTGCCAGATGAAACAGGCTGTAGGACTGACCAGGAACTAGATTGCTTTGCCCAAGGTAGTTCGTCTTTGAGGTTGGATTAAGGGAGGTTTCTGGTAAACAGAAACCCACATTTAGGTTTCTGTTTATCCAGTCAAAGTCTTTCAGTCTAGGACATTGACATTAGCACTGCCATTTGTGAGGGCCACTTTGAACCTAACAGGGGTGAAACTCAAGAACAGCCCTGGGTCCCTGTCCAGCATCATGTCTTTGCTATGTTACTTTGAACAAGTTACAGCTTCCATCTTGTTGAAAGTACAGATGCAGAGGGCCAGAAAGCTGGTGTAAGGGCTAAGGGTACCCATTGCTCTTCCAGAGGACCAGCACCCACATCAGGGTTTATAACTCCAGCTGAAGTCGGGGAAGGAATCTGTGTCTTCTGACCCCTGCCATCATTCCCACACTCTTTGCATGCATTCCCAACGCCCACACACATATAAAAAAATAAAGTAAAAATTAATATTTAAAAACACACAGGTGCAGGGATCACTGAAGGACTGGGAGAAATTGGCTGCTCATCGGGGATGGGGAAACTGCTTTTCTGAATCCTGGAGCCTGAAAGGTCAGACAGCATGACCCAGGTCCTAAACCAGCAGAGCAAACAACCGCTCACCATCCCACCAGGGCCATCCCACATTCCAGAGTAACAGGTTCTTCATCCTTGCTTAATCCAACCATGGAAAATAGGCTTTGTCCCCAGGCACACCCCCTTCCGTGCCCCAGAGCTCCACTGACCTCTATCTCCCACAGACTCCAGCCCAGCTCTTTGCCATCACCCCTCTAGGAGCTCAAAGTCCCAACCCCTCAAGCAAGCAGATTTGTCCTCTCCTTGTGGAGCAACCCCAGTGGAACACCTGGTGACAAAATACGCTGTGACCCTGGAGGACGCTTCCGCAATTTTCACGCAGTCTGGATGGAATTCTGTGGCTAGCTAAGGAATGTCCTTCCACTTATGACAAACCAGTCACACAGATACTAAAATAAAACTGAAAATCCCCAACAGGTGACTCAGGTATCAGAAACCCTGATGTGTGGCTCTGGAAGTCCCATAACTGTTAGGCTGTGGCATCATGCCATGTGGCTGGGCTGGGCTGTGAAGAACTTTTCTGTGGCTGCCACTAACACACTTGCTCAGTGCTGATGCCATTCTGTGTCTTTTGAATTCTTTTTTTTTTTTTTCATTTATTTAACTTTTATTTTATGTGCATTGGCATTGGATTCCCCTGGAGCTGGAGTTACAGACAGTTGTGAGCTGCCACGTGGATGCTGGGAATTGAATCCAGGTCCTCTGGAAGAGCAGTCAGTGCTTTTAACCACTGGGCCATCTCTCCAGCCCCTGTGTCTGTTGACTTCTTTAACCATCTCCTTGGAAAAGCAGGCGCACTTTGACTTCCGATTTCATTGTTTCTCTCAATCATCTTCATTGCTTGTGCTTTCTGAACCACATGCTGTGTGAGTCGTTCCTGGGATGGAAGCTCTTGAACAACTGCAGAGGTACTTGTGAGTGTCAGATGTGTGGTCACATCAGATGCCCTTCTCCCTCTTGACTGCCATGTGGCTAAAGCAGGGATGTGGGCTGTACTTAAGTGTGTGTGTGTGTGTGTGTGTGTGCATGTGCACGTGGTATGTGTTTGCTGTTTCTGCTTCCCCTCCCCCAAAGTGCTGGCACTTAGCACAGCTGGCTTGGCATGCACGGGTCTGGGGATTTGAACTCAGATCTTCCTGCTTGCACATCAAGCAGTCTCACCCATTCAGCCATCTCCCTAGTCCTCAGGCTAGGCTTCTTAAAATATATATATACATTTTTGGGGGGAAGGAGTTCGAGGCAGGGTTTCTCTGTGGCTTTTGGAGGCTGTCCTGGAACTAGCTCTTGTAGACCAGGCTGGTCTGGAACTCACAGTGATCCATTTGCCTCTGCCTCCTGAGTGCTAGGATTAAAGGCACTACGGCCGGCTTAAAAAAAAAAAAATTTAAGCCAGGCATGGTGGCGCATGCCTTTAATCCTAGCACTCGGGAGGCAGAGGCAAGCAGATCTCTGAGTTTGAGGCTAGCCTGATCTTCAGAGTGAATTTAGGACAGCCAGGGCTACATAGAGAAACTACACACAGACACACACACAGACACAGACACAGACACACACACACACACACACACACACACACACACACACACACACACACGTGCACGTGCTTGCTCTGGGCCTTCTGTGCCAGCTCATGACTACTGTCCATACAAGTGAGTTTTCAAGCATCTGTTTGCAAACAGAAGATCCCATGAGGGCTGCTTGCCCAGGAACATGTAGAGCAATCACTCCCTACTTGCAGATACACACAACAGAAGGGATTTTCTGCTGCACTAGACGTGAGACCTGCTTGTTAAAAGGTTTCCTAACATACCAACACACCGATGACCTTGTCCTTGAGCAAATGTGTCAAGGACAGACTTCGTGTGAATGCTGTGCCAGGCACTGAGTTAGCTCAGCTTTGGGACGCTGACCCTGGGCACTAATCATCTGACCCAGGGCAGCTGATCCTGTTCTGGTGTTTGTTTGCCGTGGCCACTGCAGCTCACTGGGGCTTTGAAACGTTGGTAGAGGTCATGGAGGCAGGAATGGGAAGAGCTGGGACTTTAACTCCTCATGGCTTCGTGGTGACTCAAAATGCAGACCTCAAAGGTAATGGGACAGTTTATTCTTGAGCCCAATATGAGTGACCATAGCTTAGGAACATAGAGTCAGGTTGTCCTGAATAACATGTCAATAGTTCAATAAGTTCTTAACAAAGTCATAAATCAAGGTATTTTTCAAATATATATTAGAGGAAACATCAAGTAGGTAGGATATAACAAAGCAGGAGAGTCTTCTATAGGTCTCAGGTTATCTATGGCATTCTTAGATTTGGGTTTGATGGAAAAGAATAGTCTGCCATGAATGCATTCCAGAGACTGCACCCGATAGGTCAGAGCCAGGCAGTGATGGTGCTCACTTTTAATCCCAATATGCCAAGGCAGAGGCAGGCAGATCTCTGTGAGAGTTTGAGGCCAGCCCGGTCTACAAAGCAAGTTCCAGGACAGCCAGAGACTCTTTTACACACACACACACACACACACACACACACACACACACACAGAGAGAGAGAGAGAGAGAGAGAGAGAGAGAGAGAGAGAGAAACCCTGTCTTGGAAAAAAAAAGTATTAGGTCAGAGGTGGGCAATGATTGGCTGTTAAGGAAACTAAAAGGCCAAGAAAAATTGCCTCTGGGTCTGTGACAATCCAGTTCCCCAAGATTGTAAATCCTAACCAATCAAGTGACCTTGTAGAATCTTCAGCAAGAATGTGTTTCTTTTCTAGGAATTTTAGTTCACACCAGTCCCCTGTGAGCCCTCCTGGACCACGGGCAATCCATACCCCTTGGGTCTGGTTTCCCATTACTAATCTGATAGGACCTTGGGTTGGTCATTCTGCATAAGGTTTATGTATATTCATGAGGTGGTACCATATTCATAGGCGAATGGTGCTTTTTTTTTCTCTTTCAAATGAGAAGGCAGATCTTCCTTTTAGGGTATTTTCCCCATGATCCTTCTGTTTTAAAAAACCCAGAGATTGGGGCAAGGAGATCAAAACTACAATGCCAATGTCACTGTAACCAAGCCAGGCTCTCATGAGGATGCAGAACAGGATGAGGAGTGCATGACTAGGATGACCCCAATAGATCGTGAAGTTTTTTTTTTTTAATTCTATTTATTTGTTTGCTTTTATGCATGAGTGCTCTGTCTGCCTGTACATGTGCATTCCAGGAGAGGGGATCAGATCCCATTATAGATGGTTGTGAAACACCATGTGGTTGTTAGGAATTGAACTCAGGATCTCTGAAAGAGAAGCCAGTGCGCTTAAGCATTGAGCCATCTCTCCAGCCCAACCTACCTCCCTTTTAACATTGTCTTTTCTTCTAAACACCTGTCCACAAGAACTTCAGATGATGGCTGTAAGATATGATACACAGGGCTGCAGAAAGGGCTCCATGGATAAGAGTGTTCATCCCATTACTCCAGTTGATGAGACCAGTGCTGGTAAAAGGAAGGTGCTAGCATAAAGGGCTCATGATCCCCATCCATCTTTGGGGCACTGACATTAGCTTTGGTTTACTAGAGGGGGGAATGGAGCAGGGCAAGGGAATTGCATAATTAACCAATCTTGGTCACACTGTATTCTGGCTGTTCACTGTCTCAGTTCTGGTCCTTCAAGGTGATGTCTAAGAAGCCCTAATTGCTTGGGGGACAAGTTAGTTATCTCGAGGTGACTGCTCCTTCTTAGGGGATGGAGCATCTGTCTGCCAATCCCTGTTGCTTTTTATCTCTTGGGAGCCCCTCTCACTCTCTGGAGCTTCCCTCCCTCCCTCCCTCCCTCCCTCCCCCCCTCTCTTTCTTTCTTTCTTTCTCTCTTCCTTCCTTTCTTTGTTTTTGTTTTTTGAGACAGAGTTTCTCTGTGGTTTTGGAGGCTGTCCGGGAGCTAGCTCTTGTAGACCAGGCTGGTCTCGAACTCACATATATCTGCTTGCCTCTGCCTCCCGAGTGCTGGGATTAAAGTGTACCACCACTGCCTGGCTCTCCTGTTTCTTTAATATCTCTTAATAAACCTTTCTCAGTTATTGTTCTGCTGTGGTGAAATACCATGAACATAAGCGACTTGGGAAGAGAAGGGTTTATTTCATTCATAGTTCCATATAACAGTCCATTATCAAAAGCAGTCAGGAAAAGAACTCACACAGGGCAGGAACCTGGAGACAGCAGCTGATGCAGAGGCCATGGAGGGGTGCTGCTTACTGACTTGCTCCTCATGGCTTGCTCAGCCTGCTTTCTTATAGAACCCAGGGCCACCTGCCCACGGATGACACCCCTCCACAACGAGCTGGGCCCTCCCCCAATCACTAATTAAGAAAACACGCTACAGTCCTGCCTCCCACAGTGCACTCTTAAGGAGGCATTTTTCCTGTTGAGATTCCCTCCTCTCAGATGACTCTAGCTTGTGTCAAGTTGACAGAAAACTAGCAGTCTCGAGCTTGTATCCTATTTTGCTAGGTTCGACAACTGCCCAGGTCTTTAGTGAGTCAAAGCACTTGGGAGCCACTGTTTCGCATTGACCTTTGGTGTCCCTCAGCCTTGGTCCCCGGTTCATGCAAAGAAAAGTACCCTCTCACTAAAAGCTCCTCTATGTCTAAGTTCGATTCTCCAACCATCGTGAATCAGGATCGTTTTGTTCTCTTTGAGCCAGGGTCTGACCGGCTGAGGAAGACCTTGAACTTCTGACTTTCTTGACCCCCGCCTCCCAAGTGCTGGGGTGACAGGTGTGCGCCATCACGACTGGTTTGTGAGGTTCTGAGGATGGAACTCGGAGGCCTTGTGCATCGGTTGCTAGGCAAGCAATTTACCATCTAAGCAAGCTACCTCCTCAGCTCTCTTAGGGACTTGAACCGCATTCCGTAACAGGTTCGAGGCAGCGTGGATGCCGTCTTAACGTGCCCTGTGAACACCCACGCGGCTCTGAGAGAGAATCCACAGGACCGGGAGAGGCCCTTCTGGGGGGTCGGGCAGGGTTGTCGAGGGTAGGGTGGGCTACGGAGCAGGAGCAACCCACAATCGATGCTGCCAGCGGCCCTACTCAAGGAGCTTGGCTGCACTTGAGGCCACCGGCTCGCTCCGCGCCGCTCTGCGGTCCCATGTCTCAGAGCCCCTCGGGGTCCCGGGTCTCTTACTGTCCCCAACGGACCTATGCGGAGGCAGCCGAGCTGCCGAGCCTCACACCCGGCCTGAGAGTCCAGCAGCTCCCTTGCTACGCAAGCGCCCCAGCGAGCCCAGCCTTGTAGTCTACTGAGCACGCGCGCTGCTCTGAGGCTCCCGTTAGACCGCCCTCGCGGCCGGCGCTTGGCGGTGCAAACGTCTTAGCTCAGCGTCCGGGTTGAGTCTTCGGAGGTGCTGGCCGCGGACGCCACCGACGCACCATGGCGTCTGCTGCTCTCGGGCTGACGCCGCGCTGGCTGATGCTCCTCGGCGCCGCACTGCTGCTGCTTCTGCCCATGGCCTCCGCGCAGGAGCCTCCGGCAATGGGTAAGGCCCGGGGGTCCCGGAGGAGGGCGGCTGGGTCGGATCCAGGGCGGAGCCCAGCCCAGCGGGCTTCGCCTCCTCTGCGCTCACGCCCTCCCTTGGAGCTGCGGGCGTGGCGGGCGCGCAGTTACGTCGTGCCCCGAGGCACGACACACAGGCCCAGTCGGAACCGGTGCCTTGGCACCTGCTTAGCAGCCGGCTGATTCGGGGTTCCACTGGCGAGCATCTGCTTTCCTGCCTGTATCAGATGCTGGGGGCCGCCACGATGAGGAGCCGAGCGAAGTCTTGCAAAATGCCTGACTCTAGCCCGGTACTGTTTCTTTCGGGGGAAATCGGGGAGCTGGCAGGTTGTGTCAAGGCCTGAAGCTGAGGGTTGGCTTGGCCAGCTTCCTGACCTTTGCAGCGAGGGCTGATGAGGCCCAGCTAGAAAGAGAGTATTTTTCCAAACCATGTTAGCTCGGTCTCTCTCATGGTGTCTTTATACTCTAGCCTGGCACGGTGTGTTTTCTCTTTGTGACCTTTTGTGTGTTGTCGCAGCTCTGTTTAAGTTTCTTATCTGCTCTCAGGTCTGCCTAGGGTCTGCGACTGCTGCACCCCAGTTATCTCCTCTGACTTGCGCCTCAAGGCTTGCTCAGCCTGCTTTCTTACAGAACCCAGGGCCACCTCCCCACGGATGACACCCCCACAACGAGCTGGGCTCTCCTCCACCAATCACTAATTAAGAAAACGCGCTACAGTCCTGCCTCCTACAGTGCACTCTTAGGGAGGCATTTTTCCTGTTGAGATTCCCTCCTCTCAGATGACTCCAGGGGACTTGGGGTCAGATTCCCCAGGCAGAATGTTGGAGAGCCTGTAGAGACACAGGACCCCTTCCCAGTGGCTCAGGGGTGTCTGCACATTGGTGGGATGCTCTAATGAGGACAGCGCCCACATCCTCCATGTCTTACCACAGAACATGCTGGTTGTGAGATTTCTACTAGCTGACATTCTGTAGGAAGATGACTGATGTTTAAAACAATATGTCTTTTAAGGATACTGCATAAATTTAAAGAATACATCACAGTGGCCCCAAACTCCCCTTTTTGTTATTGTTTGAGACAGGGTCTCAATAGGCCAGGCTGGCCTTGAACTCAGTATTTGCTTGCCTGTGCCTCCCAAGTGCTGAGATTAAAGGTGTGCAACACCAGGTCTGGCAAAACTCACCTTTTAATATATATATATATATATTTTTGTGGGTGTGTGCTTCGTGGGTGGGTTGACATCTGAACCTGTAATGGGCTAAAGGGCCTGAGAGTGAAATTCCTGAAGTTGAGGGCACTTTGGTAGGGCTTTTGTACCCTTCCTAATGGTGTGTGGAGTCACTGTCTCAGAGCTTCGTCTTGGGGAAAACAGTCCCTAGAAGGACTGCAGTTGTCATCCTCCACAGGACTACTCGGGCACAATGCTGGCTGCTGGTGGTCACCAGGTGGTGAGTCCTTACTGAACAATGCAGTTTGCAGAGCAATCTCCTGTCGTCGTCCCCCCCTCCCCCCCCCAGTGAACTGTACTGGATGCTGCTGCATGCATCCCTTTTGTGGTGCCCTGCTCCTCCTCTGCTTTTCTCCTCAAATATCGAGGTGGCCGGGACTACTTTGTCTAAGCGTAACTCTCCTGATATGACAGTAGAGGTGCTCTTTTGAGTTCTGTCACTGGAGTAGGCACTAAGCCCTTCCACATTTATGGGGCGGGGCGGTGCACAGAAGACAGCAGCATGAGGCCTTCAGTATCATAGGTTTATAATAAATAATGTTTGTTTCCTTAGTTTTCAAAGTCACCCCCTTCCCACATGTGTAGGTGTGTCCCTTTGTCCTGGATGCCTTCTGTTGACTCACCTGAAACGTCAGGGACCCACTCAGAAATGAGTCATATTTATTATCTTTCCATTTAATTATTAAAGGGAATGAGTCTGAAAGTTCTTTTAAAAATGAGTAAATAGGGCTGGAGAGATGGCTCAGAGGTTAAGAGCACTGGCTGCTCTTCCGGAGGTCCTGAGTTCAATTCCCAGCAACCACATGGTGGCTCACAACCATCCGTTATGATATCTGGTGCCCTCTTCTGGCCTGCAGGCATGCATGGAGGCAGAGTGTTGTATACATAATAAATAAATAAAATCTTTTAAAAAAATGAGTAAATAGCACCTACACTGAGCTCTTAATTCATAATGCCTCAGAGTCAGGGTGTTGAAGATCAGCACTGAGGAACTGCGAGGACATTGTTCTTATCTCCAGTGTGTGGTTGGCTGTGTCCCGTGATGGGGTGGTGGGGTAAGAGATACTGTGTGTGGCCTCCTGAAATGTGAGCTGTGGGGCAGCAAGTTGTCAGTGTTTCCTGCCTTGTCACATGAGTCTGGGAGTTACTGCAGCCAGGATGCCTGCCACTCATGCTTTCTGATATACAGGATCCACACTAAAGTTGGCCTGTGGAGGAGGAGGGGGGCTGGCCTCTGGGGATTTAGATTTCCTAGTGGTAGAGAGGCCCAGGGTGGCCAGAACTCAGGATGTGTTTCTTGGAGCTCAGTTCTTTCGGTTCTGGACATAGAGATCTGGACATCGTCATTGCTGGGGCCACTGTGTCACCTGATAGGAAGTAAGGCCATCCTTTTTAGTGGATGACTTTGACAAAGAGCTGGAGAGTGGGTGTGTTTGACACACCCTCAGCTGTCACTATAATGAGAAAGGTTTCAGTGGGAGTATAGGAGAGCCGAGGGGCGGTACAGTGAGCTCATGGATGGTACAGCTATCCTGAGTGACTTCATGCTTACTTGCTGAACCACTCCCTCCTTCTCCGTGCTTGCTAGTGTCTTCCTTACCATAAAATAGCTGGTAATTTAAACATTTTTATTGCGAATTTATAATCTTACAGCTTGTTACTGATTTGACCAGATCATGGGACTAAGTGGTTGAGGTGGCTTGTACCCCTAAATTCTCCAAAAGCAATTCCTCCTAAGAAGGGGGATATTCTCCGCTCAACTAGAACATAGTTGCCAAAGCTGGAATGTTAAAATGGAACTCAAATGCTTGGTTACTATACAGTCCACACACAGATTTACCAGTTTATCTAGTGAGGTCCTTTTCTGCTTGACCTCTGAAATCTATTGTCATTTTTAAGTAGTTTCAACTTTTACATTTCTGATCTCCTCAGTCTCCTCTAAGCTCTTCAGTCCATCTTGTCTTCAGAACGCCAGTTTGTAGAAGATCCCAGTTTGGTGCTGCCCTTTCTTTTTCTTTTTTCTTTCTTTCTTCAAGACATAGTCTCAACTATGTAGCTCTGGTTGCCCTGGAACTCGCTCTGTAGACCAGGCTGGCCTCAAACTCACAGAGACCCACCTGCCTCTACCTCCCGAGTGCTGGGATTAAAGGCATTTGCCATTGTGCCCTACTTGGTCTAGTCCTTTCTGGTCTTTGTGGACAGACAGAGCTGGGATCAAGTGTGTAGTAGCACCTGGCTGTCCCTCAGATCTGCCCCAACGGGGAGGCAAGGAGCAGAGCCCAGGAGCCACCCCGCAGTGTATGCCTATGTCCCTACCGCTTAGTTTGTCACCATGTTTTGCTGATGGTCCTGTGCGGCTATCCACCTAGGTGCAGCCTTTCTTGAGTGTACCTCCAGGTCGGTAGCAGACCACCAGAGCCCAAGGATTGTCTTGGTTTCCTTCTGTCTTTTTGAGGCAGGATGTCTGTGTAACCCAGGCTGACCTGGATCTCTGGAACCCCAGGCCTCAACCTTCAAGTGCTGAGCTTGCAGGTATGCTCCACACCAGTTTTCCTCTTTCTTTCTTTTCTTCCTTCCTTCCTTCCTTCCTTCCTTCCTTCCTTCCCTCCTTCCTTTCAAAGATTTATTGTGTACATAGTGTTCTGCCTGCGTGACAGAAGAGGGCACCAAATCTCATTACAGATGGCTGTGAGCCACCATGTGGTTGCTGGGAATTGAACTCAGGACCTCTGGAAGAGCAGCCAGTGCTCTTAAACACTGAGCCCTCTCTCCAGCCTCTAGTTTTTCTTTTGAGATAAGTTTTTCCTCCTGTGAAATTAGAAGTCTTCAGTGTGCCTCTGGATAAAATTCCTCGTATAACCCAGCTACAGTAGATGCACACTACACCTAGGAAGCCAGTGGATGAACCAAGCATCTTCCAACTCCAGTGTTGGCCCAGAAGCACTGGTTCTCACCCTCGGTGGGCAAGTTCCAGTTGTAGAACTGCTTGGGTTTAAAAGGTGACTTTTGGTATAGACTTCTTTCAGCCTATGTGGTGTTGCTCATTTTCCTTTATTTTCCTTTTCTTTGTGGCTTGAAGTTGCTCCACTGTGTAGACACTCCAGTCTTTCTGTCCGTCCTTCTAGAAGTGAACATCTGGGCTGGTTCCAGCTGGGTCATTATGGATAGAGTTGCGGTGAGCATGCCTGCACAGGGCTTTCTGTGCAGTCTTCTGATGTCTGGAATAAGATACCTCTAATGCACTTGCTAGCCATAGGAGTGGTCATTTCTGAAAATGGCTGAGCCAGCTCCAATTGTGCATTCTTGTTTTCATGTGTCCCTGGTCATTTCTTTAAGTCTAGCCTTTCTTATGCATGCATTTCCTTGCAGTTTTAATTTGCATTTCCCTGGCAACCAGTGGCTTGAGTGCAGTGCTCTTTTCAAAGTGTGCTCGTTTTAAGGGACGGTGGGGAGAAGTAGTGGGCCCTAGTTGGCTAGCATGAGAAACACTTGTTTTATGTGCTGCTTCTGTGCATTTGATTTGCTGGAGTTCCAGGGCTGATAGCCAGATAGACTTTGACCCTTTCCTGAAAACAGTGCTGTGGGCACTGGCAGTGTTTCCCAGGTGCTCTGCATGACTGACTAGAGCAGGCCCATATCCCCTGGCTTCTTGGGTTTGGGGAGTGTCGCCCTGTCTGGGGAAGCTTGCCCAGGCTTCTTGAGATCTAGAGGTAAGTTTGCAAGCTTGGCTTTGCCTGTAGGCATGTCACCTTATGTGCTGATGGCAGTAGGTCTCATCAGGTTAGTGGCAGCACAATTTCATGGTTTACCAATAGAGAACTGTAAAACATGGCTGCTTGTGTTTGGAACCTTCCTTCCCAGAAGGTTCCTTGCAGATAGAGCTGTGTGCAATGGCTCTCCTGGTGACTTGCTTGCAGCAGGAATAAGTTGTTTACATTGAAGCCAGCCAATGCCAGCAGAGTCTTGATTGTTCCTGGTGGAGGTTCACAGCATCAGTGTCTTCTCTGCCCTTCAGTGATGGATACCTTTGTCTCTCCTGGCAGGTTGTTCTCTGTATACAAACAGATCCTGTGAAGAGTGCCTCAGGAATGTCTCGGTAAGTAGTGTGGTTCAGACCCATGCCCTCAAGTCCAGGGCGGCATGTGTCTTTGAAGCACCCTGTCATTTGGAAATTGTTGGGTGCTTTGCATGATGGTTGTTAAATACTGGTCCAGCTTCTCTCAGGCATGCAAAGCCTTCTCATGAGAGGCGCAGGCGCTATCCAGCACAGCCAGTCTCCTTGACTTAGGTAGGCAGTGTGGAGAAACCTTTTCCTGGAGTTGCTTGGGATGGCTGGAAAACAACATCTGGTGTGTTGGCATTAGATGACTAGAACTGCTTGCCTCTGACTAGGTCTTCAGGACCTGTTGGGGGCTGAGATAACAACGTATATTTACAATGACAAGTACTTGACAGGCAATATAGGGTTTGAATGCACATTCAGGAGTGCCAGCATTCTTTTTCCTTCATGTGTGTAGTGCTGTGAGGTCATCTCTGGCCCATGAGAAAGCTCCGGGCCATGTGGTCCACTGGGAAGACTGAGCCAGCATGTTTGCCCTTTGTCCCATTCTTTAATTCCTTGTGTGCCCTTGTGTCAGAAGGCAGCTGCTATCCTGGAGCAGAGTTTTCTAATCTGCCACTCTAAGAAGTCGGCCTAGAACTTCTTAGGCTCATCACAAGGGTACCTTCTGATGGCTCATCCTGGGTTTTGACGGAACAAGAACAGACATTCATCTGCCCTTCGGGGAGAAGCCCACGCACAGTGGGGACTTAGCTTTACAGCACAGATCTCTAGATGTTGCGTGAGGACACTCCCTAATGTGGTGGCCTGCTCCTTGGCCAGTCCCGAAGGCTCCTCTGTGCTGCTCTTTGAGGCTGAGGAGTCTGCTTGGTCATGTTTAGCCCAGTGCTGTGCAGCTTGCCTTGGGAGTCCGCAGGGAGGAACAGAAGTGCAGCAGCAGTTGATCGGAGAACAGTCTTCAGAGGCTTCTCCTGGGGATTCAGGGCGGGAGGGGGTGGGGCTTCATGGCATCCTAGGGCTGCGCAGTTCTGTGTCCCTTTCTGACAGTGGGTTAAGGAAGAACAACAACACAAGTCAGGGTGGTGTTTCCTCTTGGCTTCCTCCACAGGACAATAGAAACATCTTAAAAAACAGCAATACCCAAATAACCAATAAAAGTATTATGAAAAAAACCCAACAGTAGCTTTTTAAAGTGACTTAGTGGGGATCTGAGATGTGTCTTGTCGTTTGGTGAGACTGCAGTGGGCAGTGGGACCAGCTGCTGCTCCTGCCTCAGTGTCAGCATGGCTTGTGCCAAACCTGCTATCCCAGGTGGTAGTGTTCCCTTGACTCTTTAGGTTCTAGGTTTTCCTCTAGGAGGCTATTTCAGCCATAAAAATAGATTATTGTTGTACTAGCCTTATAGCCTCATTGCCCTGGGTTGTGCGTTGAGGACAGAGTCCAGAGAGGAACCTGTCCAGATCACAGGGGGTTGGTCTAGTCGGGTAGAGCATGGGGCCTGACCCTGCTCTGAACCCAGACAGCAAGGCTTCATTCAGCAAGGTAAGATGGAGAAGGCCAGTCAGGCCCAACGGCCTGCCTGGAGACAGGGTTCTGGGAAGAGATAGTTCCCTGTAGGCCTTCAGAGGACCAGTGGGTTAGAGGCTGTGCCATTCCTTGATGCTGCTGAGTTGTTGACGGGCCTCTTACTTTAGTTAAAAAAATACGTTGCGAATGCTGTGTTCTCATTGGAGCTTGGAAGATTAGACCTATGACTTGAGCCCTTTTTAAAGTGGAAGAGTAACCAAAGATAATGCAGGACAGAAACACTGGGATGGTAGATAGATGCTCTTAGTAGCAGGATCTGCAAGGCTCTGCTGCTGTTAGCCATGCAGTGCCTGCCAGGAGCCATTGTGAAGACAACAGTGGACACTGTACAGTAGCCCAGCACATGTTTTCATGTTCTTGTAATAGATGTTCCTCCAAACTGAGACCCAAACCTGGTCTTTATCTTGTTGATGAGCCAATGACACGCTTCCTCTGAAGATGTGTGATCAGAAAGATGTCCTCTTGGCTCTGGCAGGGTTAGTGCTCTTGACAGAGGAATTCCTTTTCCCTGTGATGTGTGTAGTCTTCCCAGGGACACCTTCCTAGGTCAGCTGTGCTGTCTGCTGGCCATCCTCAGCCCTGTCTAGCACGGTGGTGGGTGTGGTGAGTCCTGCTCGGAGTTCTGACATGTTTGGTGCCACAGTACTGTCTCATCACTTCCGTTCCCACCCCGACATTTAAGGGGCTTAGACAAGAGCCCCCTGGAGGTTCTCTCCCACTCTCATCCTTGGTTGCATCATCCTTCAAAACCAGACACTTAGTGCAGTGTAAAGATGGAGGACAAGACTCCTACAGTTATGACTTCCCTGTGTCCCATCATCTGTTCAGGAAATACCTAAGGAGCATCTCCCGTTGGATGCTGAGGTTGCCCTGTCCTGTGTCTCTGTGTGCCACAGTTATCTGGCTTCCTGCACAGTGTGGACAATGTACTGTGCAGTATGAAGAGGCATTGCTGTGGAAGGAAGCAGCAGTGTTGTTGGTCAGGGAATGGGGGTCTGGGTGGTTGGTGGAACGGCAAGCTTCCTTGAAGATCTGAGGGAACCATCTCAGGCTTGAGGAAGAGGAGGCCAGAGAAAATAAGCAGGTTTCAAAGGCCCTGAAAGCAGGTCAGCTTTCAGGATAGTATGTCACTGTGGGGTGGACAGGAATGCCAGCCACTGTGTTGGACATTGGCCAGAGGGCAGCAAGGAGGAGTTAGGAGTATCTGGAGGATGCATTCCTAGATCCATCCATCCTAGAGATGGTGGCGTGGGTAGCAGTGGAGACAGGGAAGTGGTCTTGCCCTGGTCTGTTGAGGGGTCTTCTGATGCTGGTCTCTTTCAGTGTCTGTGGTGCAACGAGAACAAGGCATGCTTGGACTACCCAGTGAGAAAAATCTTGCCCCCTGCTTCTCTTTGTAAATTGAGTTCTGCTCGCTGGGGCGTATGCTGGGGTAAGTTGTTTTCATTTACTTCTTGCAAAATCAGTGGGTTTTGGTGATTCTGGGACTTGTGCTCAATCAGCATAAGTTACTAGGAAGTTACAAGGAATGCTGCAGTACTGTGACTCCCAAGGGAAGAAGCAAGGAGTCCTGTGATGGTCTGCTGTTTGGCAGGCAGCCAGGGACCTGGTGTTCTCCTGCAGAATCATTAACCACGGCACTGCACAACCCACATCATGGGAGGTGGGGAAAGCGCATGTGTAAAAGCCTGTTTTTATGTTCCTATGTATGCCGTGTGTCACCTGGGAGCAGCCAGTAATCCCCAACCAAGGACCCTGTTAGCCCAGATACGTACGTGTGTGTGTGTGTGTGTGTGTGTGTGTGTGTGTGTGTGTGTGTGTGTGTAGGAGAGAGAGAGAGAGAGAGAGAGAGAGAGAGAGAGAGAGAGATTAATTTTCTTCCAGGCAAGGAATTAGGCCTGTGTGGTTCGGCTTGCTCTTTAACACATTTGTGCTGTATTTTGCTGCCTGGAACTGATTTTCCTGTAGGAAGCTGTTTACCTTTGGTGGTGTTAGGTTTGGGGCTGCACAGGCCTCCTCCAGCCTGGTGAAGGAGCTGTATGGTTGTCACTGTTGTCCTGACACAGGAAAGCCTCTGAGGTCTCAGTACTGACCCCCATCCCTACCCCCACCCCCACTGTCCCCTCCTGGTAGTGCTCCTTCCTGGACTGGGAGTGTTGGCTTTGGAGCACCAATTGCCACTCAGGTATCTCCCATCAGTGTGTGAATCTGTATTACCTTATGATCCATGGATTCTCAGGGGAACAAGGAGGACAATTGTAGAGCTTCTGGAAGTCTCCGTCCGTCCCCTGTTCCCTGTCATGTCTTGTGTCCCCGTCTGTCTCCCCCTCCCCCCCTTTCCCAGAAGGATGTGCTGCTTTTTCTACCTCTCCACTAAGACTGCCCAGGCTTAAATGCTTTACCCTGCATACAGCAATGTCACCTCATCTGTTTGCATCCCTCCAAGCACTGGCAACATCTGTCTGTTTCAGGTCCTTTAGCATAGTGGGCGTTTACTTGTTTTAGTTGACTCACTGGGTGGTGTGTGGAGAACTGTGAGCTGTCGATCTGACTGATGACTGAAGGTGTAGAGCTGTGTCAGGTGGTAGGTACTCTTGGTAATTGTCTTGTGCAATGCGGTTCCCACCCAGGTTATGGGATGGTTAAACAGCACCCCCAGCTCAGGGCAGATGAAGTTGCTATAGCTCATCGGCATGTGTTGTCACTGTGTGCTGCCAGCAGAGTTCTGGCAGAAGACTAGGTCTGCCTGTGATTCCCAGTGAGCACAGCGTTGGTTACTGTAAGGGACTGGCTCCTGCTTCATGGGAATACAAGCAGTTGGGCCTGGTCTTCCGATAAGGGGGTTAATGGACAGGGTTCATAATCCCTTGAGCAGAGTAGCACCTGAGGTTGGGCCTCTTAGCCTCCTGGTGTCACCATAGGTCGGGTGGCTGTGGACAGTCAGTTCTTACAAATAACTTTACAGTCATTGTTTTACGAGGGAAATTGCTATAATTTTTACTCAGAGTTTTAATCGAAATGACTTAAAAGTGTTATTATATTTGCAGAAATATGATCTTTACATGTTGATCTTTTGCATTGAGCAAGGAGACCTATTTACATGAGTACAAGTTTCCCTGGAGGGTTAACAGAGGAGCCCACAGACTATTTTCTGTTTTCATCTGTAACTCACTTGAGTTGCTCGTCAGAGAAGCTGTGGGAGTAGATTGAATCTAGTTAGATCCAGCTATCTCAGTGTTCTCATTTCTAGGTTGAGTTTGACAGAATGCTGTAGTCAGAAACTGTACCACCTACTGATGGCAATGACAGTCTTCTTTCTAACCACACAAGTTGCTCCTTTTTGCGCCTCTGCACTTTAAGGCTAGGCCTGTGTAGACAGAGCACAGGGCTTGGAGCTCAAAGGCACCTGAGCAGTTGTAGTGCCCATTTTGGATTTTAACATGTTTAGAAAGTGAAAAGGAGTCTGGTAAATGAACACAGTCCCCTGTGCTGAGGCTGACTGGGGGATCCCAGGAGCTGCCCTCATCCTGCCTCCTCCTGGTGCCCAGCAGAACCTGTAGCTAACAGCTGTATGTTTGCAACTCCCCTTAACACATCTTGGACTGTCAGCATCCCTGTGGCTAGGGACTTTTTTTGCTTGTGAAGTACCTTGGTGCAGAGTTGACTGGGTGACTGGGGCGTGTTGGCAAAAGCAGTGCGGGCTCCTGAACTGGCTCTGCTTTGAGTGGAATAGGAGAAAAACCTTGACCGGTTTTATTTTTATTATTCGGTTTTTTGAGACAAGGTTTCTCTGTGTAGTCCTGGCTGTCCTGGAACTCCTTCTGTAGACCAGGCTGGCCTTGAACTCAGTGATCTGTCTGCCTCTGCCTTGAGTGCTGGAATTAAAGGCGTGCACTAGCAAACCTAGCCAGACTTCTTTGACTGGTTTCTATTTAAAGATCTTTAAGAGAAATTCACAAGAACCTTAAAATTTATTTTCAGTTTGTATCTGTTCCTGTAGGTTGACTGTACATGCACTTCATGTCACTGAGTGACACTGGTCAGCCATTTTCAAATACCAGGGCTTCTGTAATGCTCGTAATGCACTGTAATACAGGGCGCTTCCCCTTCTATAGGTGGCGCTAAGGAGTCAGGAGGTCTTGGGAACAGACACAGGTGACATCTTTCCTTTCTGTCTTAAGTGGGGGAAAAGGGCTGTTTTGTCTTACTTAGTTTGTTGTGGTTTATATGGAAATTTTAAGCTGTAGGCATTGGCTGAGAGGAACCATGTGCACGGGCCCTATGTTTAGGACTGCCCCTGTGTCCCATGACAAGTGGTACCCTCGGGGTGGAGGCAGGTCATATGTGCTGAGGTCTCAACTTTGTGCCTGGACTTGCAGTGAACTTTGAGGCCCTGATCATCACCATGTCAGTGCTTGGGGGCTCTGTGCTCCTGGGTATTACCGTGTGCTGCTGCTGCTGCTGTCGCCGCCGTAACAGGAGCCGGAAGCCAGACAGGAGCGATGAGCGGGCCATCAGAGAGCAGGAGGAGAGGAGAGTGCGGCAGGAGGAGAGGTGAGGCTGGGCCCTTTGCTCGGGAGCTTGCCTCTGAGTGTGCAGCACGAAGGCCATGGTAAACAAGGGGTATAAGTCACATGCTTTCTCCATGTCTCAAAATGTAGCATGTGTTTGTTGTCCAACATTTCCTGGGCTGTAGTTAAAAGTGAAGCTGACAGGAGTCTCTTAGGGGTCACTGGCTATGTCTCAGCCCTTGGGCTGCCTGGCCTACCTCTTCCACTGGTGGAGGAGGCTGTCAGAGCCTGTGTGTGCTACAGTGCTCCTGCACTGGCCATGGCCTAGCCTTGAGTACTGCCGTTCTAGCCCCAGCCCCAGCCCCTAATGGTGAAGTAACCTGACTGCTGTTATAGACACTGGCTTGTGCCCGCTAGTTCCCAGAGCACTGAATTCTCTTAATGTGTGCTGTGGTCCTTGGGCAGTCCTTGGAAGCATGCTCTCAGCTCTGAATTGGGGTACCACTAAGCAAATGTTAACAGTTGCCTTTTCCTGGTCACCTGATGCAAGGCTTACACCCATCTGCATTTTCTTTATGACAACTTGAAAAGATCACAGTGTTAGACATTTGAACTCATTTTTTGGTTTCTTCTTTTGGGAGGAGGGTCTCACTCCATAGCTCAGCCTGGCTTTGAACTCTGCACCCTCCTGTCCTCAGTCTTGTGAGTGCTGGGATAACAGGTGGTTACCACCGTGTCCAGTTAGAACTGGGACAGAATAGAAGGGCCATCAGAGCAGCCTCAGCAGACTGGCTGTGAGTCACCCTGCTGGTCAAGTGGTACGTGTGGCCTAGTGGCCACAGTCATCCCCACTTTCTTTTGGGGAAGCTTGTAGAAAGTGCTGCAGGAGGCGGCGCACGCCTTTAATCCCAGCAGTTAGGAGGCAGAGGCAGGCAAATCTCTTGAGTTCGAGGCCAGCCTGGTCTACAAGAACTAGTTTCAGGACAGGCTCCAAAGCTACAGAGAAACCCTGTCTCAAAAGAAAGTGCTGCAGAAGCCCCTCGCATCTGCTCAAGGAAATGAAAGGCCTGAGAGGTTGAGGTGACCTTGCTTGTCTGTCGTAATTTGACGCAACTTGGTTTTTCTGTATTTTTTAGGAGAGCAGAGATGAAGTCAAGACACGATGAAATCAGGAAAAAATACGGTAAGAATGAGAAGTGTCTCTCTTAACTGGTTAGGGTCTGGGCAGCTGCTGCTTTTCCAGAGAACTGCCCTCCAGTGAAGACAGTAGCTGTGTGGTTCCCAGGATGACACCAAAGACTAAAATATACTGTGTGCCTCAAAGGAGGAAAACTCAGAAGGGTTTTCATCTCAGCTATACCTCTTCTTTGGTACACATGAAGAGTAAAAACTTCAGGAGGGTTGTTCATAGCTGTTTGCCTGTTCGCCTTAAAGTGGGATCTGCCTGTGTAACTGGCCTTGGTTCTGTGAGCTGAACCATCTCTGCAACCCTTCCTTCCCCCTGTGTGTGTCTCTTCTGTCTTCTGACGGGTCAGACCACCCTCCTTTATCAGAGAGCTGACTGAGATTGAGGCATGCCATCCCTCCCTCGCCGCTTTCTGGCTGTGTCATCTTGTTTGGAAAGACTCTGGGCAGTGACTATGAAGGAGCCAGCCTGATCATAGGTGCCAAGTGTAAGCCTGTTTGGTTCACTTGAGTGAGTCAGAGACCCAGCATGATGTGATGGGTAGTCCCTGACTCCAGCATTACATAACATTCTGTCTTTGGGTCTTGGTTGGTTGCTGTTCCCAGCTGTTTCTGAGCTGGTTTTAAAGCTCAGGAGGGCACTAGAACTTTCTGCCTGGACTCTATGGCCACAGAGGTTGGGTGCTGCAGAAGCTAACCCCTCAACCACCTAGACATGGGGCCAGAGGGCCGCGTGAGGACTCCCAAGCGTGAACCCACTTTTTTGGCCTTGAACCACTGTCTTTCTTTTGGGCGGGTAGGGTAGGGGTTCAAGACAGTGTTTCTCTGTGTAGCTCTGGCTATCCTGGGACTCATTTTCTAGACCAGGCTGGCCTCAGACTCACAGAGCTCCACCTGCCTCTGCCTCCCGAGTGCTTCCCAGCTTCAGTCACTATCTTAACAGGAGAAATCTGATGAAGAAAATTTTAAAATCTTTCCTAAAAATATGCATTAAAATGATTTCATTTATTTTATGCATATGTGTGCGTGTGCATGCACCAACATGCTGTCAGGCACATATAGAGGTCAGGGGATGACTTCTGGGAGCCAGTTCTCTCCTCCTGCCCTGTGGGTCCTGTGGTCGTCAAGCTTGGTGGCAAGCGTTTTGCCTGTTGAGCCCATCTCACCAACTTCTAAGGAATGCAATGTTTGGTCATTTTTTATGTAAGGAGATAGCATTTTTGTGATGCTTCAATATCTAGCCCACCGGGAACATTCTTACACCACTGTGTGCGTTAGCTTTTCAGTGCTGAGATGAAATGCCTGAGTTAAACATCTTAGGGAGCAAGGCTTTGTTTTGGCTCAGGGTGTCACAAGTTTCTGTCCAGGGTCCACTGCTGTGAGCCTGTGGTGAGGCAGAGCATAGAGGAGGAAAGCTGCTCACCTTCTGGCAGCCATGAAGGAGTGTGGGGAGACAGCAGCCAGAACAAGGAGGACCCTTTCAGGACCTTTGTCCTCCAACCAGGTCCTTTCTCCTGATACTGCCATCAGTTTAAGAATCCATGAATGGAACCTGGGCATGGTAGCACATGCCTTCAAGCCTAGCACTAGAAACAGAAAGAAGTGGATCTCTTAAGAGTTAGAGGCCAGCCTGTTCTACATAGTAAGTTCCAGGCCAGCCAAGGCTGTGTAGTGAGACCCTGTCTTAAACAACAAACAGAAAAGAATCCATGAATGGATGAGACCTGTGACTAACTTGGCAGTTATGACCCTATCACATAGCTCACATCTGAACATTTGCTTCATTGACTAAAAGATGACTTCATGACCAAGTCATGACACCAGTTAGTTTCTGTTATTTGTATGTGGGGGGTGCTATCGCAAAGTCCAGTTGCCCCAGCACAGCACCCCTTCTCTGGGTTTGAGTTGTTCAGGTATTAAATATGCAGGTTTTCGGTCCTCTTCCAGGGGCTGTGGAGATCCGATTGCTGCTGGCTTCAGGATCTGGTCGCACTATGCGCTGGGAACTGAGGAGGCACTGTAGCCGTGGAGCCTCCTTCCTCAGAGCTCCTGCTGCATGCTGTGGCCTAGGTTTGGGTTTGGGCTTCTCTGATGTCAGAGCTGCTGCACTGGACCCTGGCTAGCCTTGTCTCCTTCTATTGATTTCTCTTTTTGTTTGTTTTTTGTTTTTTCAAGACAGGGTTTCTCTGTATTATTGTTTGGAGCCTGTCCTGGAACTCGCTCTGTAGACCAGGCTGGCCTCAAACTCACAGAGATCCGCCTGCCTCTGCCTCCCGAATGTTGAGATTAAAGGCGTGCACCACCACCGCCTGGCCCTTTCTGTTGATTTCTATCCTGCTGATTTGGCCTTGCTTCATCTTTATGGTTCCCTGGGTTCTAGGTGAGTGTGGAACACACAGATACTAATATCTACCCTAACAAAGTCCTAGTAGGTAGGTTACTACACTGGCCCCAAGACAGTCTTGTCATACAAGTATGATAAGGGGGTTGGGACAATGAGGGAGTATGAGACAAAGGATGAGAGATTGCCGGGTGATAGAAGAAAGATGAAAATAAATGAGGGGGTAGAAATAAGGAGAAGAGCGGTGGGTACCACAGTTGATGATTAAGTCCATATTTTTTCTCAGGCCTACTATAATACTTGATTGTCAACTTGATGGTGTGTTCTTTTTATATAAAGTCTTAATTTTCCAACACAGGCTGTGGAAAGAAACACATGCAGGAACTTCCCTGAGTTCCTGTGATCTCAGCTGTGGTTTGTTTTTAGGAACTGTTGGGATTTCTGTTCCTGGTGGGTTTTACTTCAGTTTTAAAGTCACCTGTGGCTCAGCTTCAGTGAAGGTCAAGGAGCGTATGGGAACCTGCTTCGAACTGAAGTTAAATCTCGATGTGAAACTTAGCTGAGGCGCACTACCTTTGTTGCTGGTTGCAGGAGTAGAGTGGACAGTTTTGTTTCTTTTTGTCTTTTTCTTTGTTTGGTGTGGAGTTTTTGGGAGGTGGTCTCACTATGTAACTCTGGTTGGCCTGGAACTGCACTGGTAGATCTGGCTGACCTCTAACTCACAGCGGTCCTCCTGCCTTAGCTTTCCCAGTACTAGGATTATGGGTATAGTCCAGAACACCCAAGGCCATACATTGCCTTTGTGAGTTTTGTTTCCAGTTGAGTGGGTGAAGTTGTGAGTCAAGTTATTTTTTTCCCTCCCTCAGGTCTGTTTAAAGAACAAAACCCATACGAGAAGTTCTAAAGCAGCTGGCACCCACTGCGGCAGATCTTGCAGTTCCAAAGTTTCCTGGGAGTGCCCTCGTCAGCATAGCCTGCGGAGACCTTACTGCAGCCACCCTTGACCTGAGTCATCCCTCCAGCCTCAGCATGGGCACCAGAGTGGCCTTGAGAGGACAATCCTGCCCTTGTTCCCTCTATCTCTGTATGTAATCACCTGAGACATTAATCTTGTTGACATCCTTTTATGGGGGGAGGAAACGTACTTGGTCCCCACACTCTACAAAGCCGGCAGCCTGGGGTGCTGACTGGCTGCTGAGTGGCCTTGCTGCGAGATTCACATTGTAACAAATGAAGTCATATTTACTTTGTTATGGCAAGAATTGACCCACCATCCTTGCTTTCCCAAGGCTGTGTTGTGACTGCAAGCCCATTTCTGTGACATGTCACTGCTTTAGTTCTGGTGGCTTTTGGGAAGGCACTGTCCCCACAGTCTGGTACCCAGCTGTATCCTGTAACACAGGAGCATATAAAGTCCCTCAGGAAACAGTCTCACCAAGACATTTCATGAGAAGTCTGGGCCTCTTCTTGGATGGCATTTTTCAGTTGTCTTTAATAGACCGGGAATCTTTCCCCCATGGGAAAAGTTGTGAATTCAGTTTGAGTGCTGAGACGTCTGCCTCAGGTTTCTCCTGCTGTGGTAATGCACGAAGTCACATGTCCTCAGAAGGTCTTTTATGCAGATCTTAGACATCTCCCCTCTACCTGACAGGCTGTCCTGTGTGTATCATGGAGGATGAACAGCTTGTCTGTCCCCTGGCCAGCCCCATTTTGGAAGCTGAGTATGTAGGAAGCTAGGAGAACCCCACCCCATACTGCCAACCAGAAAACGTGCCTGAGCAGACACACACGCCCACCTCACTTCCCACCCTGCTTCCAGCCATGTCTCAGCTCACTGTGTCTGAGACATCATCATGGGCCCTTGGAAAGCTTGTCAAGGGACACTAAGGTCCCCATGATTCTGTCCACAATGTACATTTCTCTATAGTCCTGAATGTCACTAGTAAGCAGATCGCAAGCTTGATGGTAGGGTAATGAGCAAAGCTACCCTCCTGGGAGAGCAGCCGCCAGCAGATGAGGTGACCTTACGCCTGGCTCCTTCATGCCTGGACACCTCATCTAGCTGTTCAGTAACCCTTTCAACTCCGTCGGTCTGTCTAGGGATCAACATTTCTCCCCTCCAGTTTTCATAAACTAAGGGAATGACCTTCACCAGTCTGGAGTTTTACCATTTTTCTGCCTTGTTAGGCATTTGATACAATTTAAAGCATTGTCAAACATCTCATATTATAGCAGCCATTGAGATTTGCCTTTCTACTGTCAGTTGATAAAGGAGCCCTCCTCAGCAGGCCCTAATGAACTTTGTATTAATATGTAGCATGTATACATCATACCTGTTAGGTTGCTGAGCTGATGTTAGAGTGACCAACTGCTAAATGCAGAGTATTTAAATCTCCAGTGTAGAAATGCAGCAGGTGCTCACTGAACTGGTGGTCTGTGCCGGCCTCTGAGCAGCATGGAGAGCAGCCACAGACCTGCGCCCAAGACCGTGACACCCAGTGCCTTACTTTTTAACCACTTTCCAATAAAATGGTTGAATATGGCTTTGATTTCTTTTCTCTCTGCTGCCTCAAGGGTGGGCTGGGGCTGTGAGATTTCCAGATAAGTTGAGCTCCTGGGCATTGTGAAGAGTACCATGTCCCACAGGGGCTGAGTAGGCCAGTCCTAGAGCGGTCAGCACTCCTGCCTTCAGTGTAGAAAGGTCCCCTTTGTCACCCACCCTGTCCAGTCCCACCTCACCATGCTCAGCGTTCTGCTTTTGTCTTGGTACAATGAAGTCAGAAGTTGCTCTGCATAACTGCTAGCTGACACTGGCACCCGGACGCCCTCTCCTGGCATGTGGCACCTGGCTCCTTCAGCCCTGGAGTCTGAAGTGGACAGGCTGGTGATGCAGTATGGATAAGGGATGGGTGTCACTGAGCTTGCCTGTGACAGGCTGTTGGCTCTCAGGGTCTTCAGCTCCAGAGCTCATGCTGGCTACTTGAACCTGTTATCTATTGTGGTAGAGGAAAAAGAGACATGGGGCTGGGGATAGAACCTGACTCTGTGCTTTCAGGTTAACACTAGAGTAAGGGACACTGGCCTGAAAGTCCAGGAACCAGAGAATAATGATCTGAAAGCTGCAGCAAAAAGGCCGTCAACAGCCTGTTTGCCCAGGGTTCAGGCCTCAGTAAAAGTCTGCCCTCTTCAGGCTTATGCCTGGACTGACCTGTTTCCAGGAAATACAAGCCCAGCCTGGGACAGGTACACCCATGGAAACTCCTAAGTGTCGACATGCAAATGTCACCCTGCCCAGGCTGCAGACCACAAGAAGTGAGGACAGGTCACTGAGCAGGTGGGAGGCCACTCACCCAGCCTGGTCCTGGAACCACAGGCCGTGGTAGGTCACCCTGGGCAAATGTTAGCAATTGTGCCCATAAGTGATAACAGGCTAGGAAATTCTGGGAGACTGTGGGAAAGCCAATGGGAGTTCTGGGGGTCCAGTTGGCAAAGATGTTAGATGTGTGGAATCTTTAAGTGTTCCACAGGGACTACTTGGGATTCAGGTCCAAGAACATCCTTGACTTGGGCTTTTAGATTCACTCTTGGAAAAATAGCACAGGGGCTGAGAGATGGCTCAGAGATTAAGAGCACTGGCTGCTCTTCTAGAGGTCCTGAGTTCAATTCCCAGCAACCACATGGTGGCTCACAACCATCCGTAATGAGATCTGGTGCCCTCTTCTGGCCTGCAGGGATACATGCAGACAGAACACTGTGTACATAATAAATAAATCTTAAAAGAAAAAGAAAAGAAAAATAGCACAATGTAGTTGGGTTGAAGGAAGGTTTACTCAGCAGTTTCCTTTGTCTGCAGAGGGAGCATGCTGGGGTAGGGGCAGGTACATCAATGCAATGATGCTGTCAGCTGGCTATGTGTCAGGACCTCACCTGTCACCTGTAATCACCCCTCAGTCCTATAAGAGGGACTCACAGAGCAAGCAGTCTTGCACTGTGTAGAAGAGTCCCTGAGTTCTGGTCCCACCTTGCACTGTGTGGGAGAGTCACCTGAGCTTTGAGTTCTGGTCCCACCTTTGGAGCTCACGAGGGAGGCAGGGTAGGCTCACAGCTGGGGCTCAGACAGGCTCGATCCAGGCTGCCATTGTATACTGCTCCACCTCAGTTTTCTGGGAAAGGTCTCTCACAGACATCAGTGCCATCCACTGATGAGAGAGAGTGGAGACATTACAGGGAGCTGTGCATCCAGAGAGAATCAGCAATGGGCTGCTTGGCATCAGTCAATAGGATCCACACCGCAATGACCAGCGATGCCAGTATGACCCACCCAGCACTCTGTCCTGGCTCCTCGGGAGAAGCCATTGGGTCTCAGCATGCTAGCTCAGGTTCTCAGACATTCTGCCATTTCTTCCTTTTCTGCCTCCTGTCCCTACTTCACACACTACACCCTTGAGGGACTCTCCACCCTAAAGACTACCTCTGAGGCCTTGTCCCAGCATCTGCTTCCTTTGAACTGTCTCAAAAAGTTACCTTCTCCATCTCCTCTTCCAGATGGTCCTGAATTCAATTCCCAGCAACCACATGGTGGCTCACAACCATCTGTAATAAGATCTGGTGCCCTCTTCTGGCCTGCAGGGATACATGCAGGCAGAACACTATACTTAATACATAAACTTAAAAAAAAAAATTACCACCTGACCCAGGGAACGTGCAAACTGCAGTGAGGTGGGGATTGTCAGGTTGACTTTTATTCCCCACCTCTGAGTGGGTAAGAGATGGCCACGGCCACACATCTGTCAAGCAAAACAGTGCTTGCTCCAGGGAGAGTAGGGATAGTTTATTCTGAGCCAGGTATGTGTGGCCATGGCCCAGGAGCATGGATTGAGTTTGCCCTGAAGGACATGTTCCACCTTGGAAGTGGTTGTGTGAATAGTCACAGTCTCTCAGATACTATCAGTGACATTCTTAGCCTTTAGGGCTGGTAGAAGCCAGAGGTATGCTAAGTCAACACTTCCAAACGTTTTCTATAATAGTCTCAAAGATGTTAGGGGATAAACAGCATGAATGCTAAAGGCAGGATGGTTTGGGCTGTGGACCTGCAGCATCCCATCCACCAATCAGGAGGATCTGCACAGACCTAGCTTCCTCAAGGAGCATCACAGAATCACATACCCGGGTAAGCACTCCTGCTAGATGAAACTGGACTTCGGGTTGGAGCACTGAGCAGAACCCTAACCCTCCCAGTTTGGGCGGAGGTGGCCTGAATGTGATACCTGCGTGTCATGACGCTGCTGAATTTGATCTGAGTTTTCAAATGTGTCTGAAGTCATGAGAGTAGGGGTACATTGTGCTGTGCTCATGGGTTTGGGTGTTGCGGGTTACACTACACTATAGTTGAAGTCTAGGTCTGCTGGCAGTCCCTTTGTCCAGAGAGCCATGGTGGACTGGGGCTCTGCCCTTCATTTTGTCAAGGGCCTCCCGACCAGCCATGGTCTTCCCTGGCACTACCCTGCCTGGTGGGGGATGTAGAAAAGTCTCCCATTACACTGCCCAGTTTTTCAGGCGAGTGCCCCATGATGGTATTGTTAGACCCCCCCGGAAAACTCAAGTATCCGGGGTCCCAGGCCACGACTGCGGTCACCCCAATCACCAGGCGGATTCGAGAGCTTGCTGCAAGGCTTTATTGTACGAGGCTGCACGAGGCTTTATTGTAATTTAACGAGCTAACCCCATGTTAGCTCAGGTCTTTC